CTTAAACGAGGCCGGGCGTCACCGGCTCCAAAACTCCCGACCCGTGCTTACAGTTCCTACGTGTGGGGGTGTTTCGAGAGACATTCTTAGGAATGAGAATCTATAAGTTCGAGGCTGAGTCGTACTAATGCTCTAGTGGCTATCACGATTCACAGCATTTCTCAATGTTATATTCCAAAATCTATCCTCATACTCGGCGCAAACCTTGCCGGCTCGCGGCACTATGAGGCCGACAGCTATGAGGAACAGCGTGTCAATCGAAAACTTGTTAGCCGAAGCACCCAATGTGGTGATTCTTTAGAAGTTATCGCAATTGAGCACGTGGCGTCGTTTTCAGAAGGCATAAATGCTAACAGATGTTAACAGTCAAGGATGATTGTCGTTCGGATAAGAATTGTCAAATTTTAGTGGGCGTGGTCATTGAGAGCCTCTCGAAATACCGCCAAGGCACGAACGACTCGACACGAGGACACACCTAACTAACCCACTATATCTAAGTACACAGTATCCGAGTGTGACTCACAAGAAGTGGACGTGTCCTTTGAATACGTGGTAAGTCGAGCATTACGGCGATCAGTATCGTATCAACCTCGTATGCGTCAACGTTAAGTCAAGGTGAGAAACAGGTGGCAACGCAAAACCCATCCGTCCCCATGATGGGATTCTAGGCATCCACGCTCTAGACTTTAAGTGAAAGGCGTATCATATATCGGCACGATCTTAACTCATTCACACCTATATGATACTTGTTATCATATATGTACACGTATGTTCCTGAACATATCAATTCCTCATAAGCCGGGCATAGCTCACAGAGAAACACGGACCTTAGATAACGATGCCGTCTTTGACTTTCGTAATGCATTAACTATCAGATATATTGTAACACTCAACTAATACTATTTATGAATTTATAATGTTTACCTTGCTACATTCAAGACTCCTGTGATACTCAAGACTCGTGTTCTATTTACGCCATATCAACTTGGGTTGTCTTTCTAGTCTAGTTAGTCGGAGTTGTCCTAACATGTTGAATGCTTATACTTGAGTAAACTCACCCTTCCCTGGATGAGAGCTGATCCAAATAGTAATAGATCTTTCACTTTACATCTTCATATCCCCGTCGCGTCTTCCTAATTCAAGTACGTCAACTTAATGAGAGGCTTTGGGCATATGCTGTTTAAGCCAACTTGACTGGCTGAGGCTCCCTTACACGCTATAGGAGATACTGGTGAAGATGGATTTCTTGAACGTACCTAATGTTCCTTCGACGAATAATCCTGCCGTTGATAACGGCTCATGCAGACATGGTATGATACATTTATATCGGGTATCTGATGATAGTTGAACCTGTTGGCAAGTGACAGGTTGCCTGTTTGTTCATACATGCCCCTTTACTTATACTCATAATACACTTTATACCCAGTACGCGAGAGATATTGTCTCAGAGTAATATACTCTACCTACGACTTGATCTTTTCTATCTAAATATGTGCCAACCTAGATATATCGAAAGTCTCCCATGAATGCCTGCCGATATAAGTAACTCACTCATTTATACTGGTGAGTTATGAGGAGATATTAGAAAACTAGGTACTCTGCTCGTTTTAAATTCATCGCGGCACTAATGCCCATATAGACCTTGGGAAATTGTAAGCGGTAAGCGATAGGGTAAGCACGACGCGTCTCTCGCTAATATATTCAGTACCTGATATCATCATCTAGCAAATAAGAATAAAATGAGGGAGCTGGGCCGTTGTTTCTCATATCCCACGGTAATATGCCCCTTTAATTCATTCAACATCCACAGTCAAACGTAAATCAGCGTTATAAGCCGACGCTTAACATTGCTAGATATCCGGTTGCTTATAATGGCTAAATAGTATACATTTGACAGTAGTTATATGCTTATCAATAACTTAAAAAAAAAAGCTGCTAAACCCTCGATAGGGCGTCCATCCATAGCCAGGTGGTCAAGGCCGAGCAAGTGTAATATGGTATACAAAGTGTCACTATCTACGGTCTAGCTATGGTATAACTCTAGTTAGTCATTTATAGTTCTATACACCACCCCGTGATACTCTTGAAGACACGTGATACCTGGTCGTTCTAATGTATTATTTGAACTCAGCAAGTCGTACCAGTCAACAAGATGGATATCTTAGGCACCTATATTAAGTCCGAATACCCATGCCTTCTTCTCTTATGTATCTTAATCTCATATCTACCTTAGTGACTGGGCGGGCATTTGCCTAGTGTACAGGCTAGGTGGGCTGAAACATGTGAAAGGGCCTCGACAGAATGAGGGCAGCCTCAAAAAGGAGAACAATACCGGGGGTTTTTGAAAGGAGTTAACTACTTCAACCTTCAACATGAAGAAAGTCGACCTTCTGTTATCCCAGGAACCCGCCCTATCCACACGGGGTCCCGGATTCAGCAGTAAGCGGGTTTTATTCTCTTGCCCTACGGAATATAACTCAACTGATACGAATACATTAGGTACATACACCCGAGCCGGTTCGGAACCGCAACCCGGCCCTATTTACTATAGTTAAATGAACAGCCGAATTAATCCAGCGCCATTAGTCCCACAGGCCTCCAAGTATGTATGCAGTAAGTACCCGCCCGCTCTTACCACACTCGGCCGAGTCCGGGTCCGTTGCGACTACGGAACAGGTTCCGATCCGGTGAGGAGGTAAAGTAGGTAGGTACATCGATCGTGCGGGTCTCGACAACGCCGGACCGGTAGGGCTCGCGAGTAGGTCTTCGGATAGGTACCTTAGTCCTACATATGTAGGACTTTATATATATACCTTATATATCAGTCAATTAATTCAGTCAATCAATTCAGTCAATCAATATAATAGCCCCAAGTGCTGGGTTAATTTATCGTATCTTTCCCCATAATCGACAACCAACGCACACGCGGATCGCCTTTATTGATCCCATCACATTTCCGATCGTAGCGCATCACATTATCACATCGCACTAAGTCAGCCTTTTCTTTCTTTCTTTCTTTCACTTTTAGCCTCCTCCTCCCCGTCCCCGTCCCCCTTCCACCCTCGGGCATTCTAATCTACTCTAGCCCAGCCCAGTCCAGCCAGACCTAGCCTAACACTAATTACTTACGCCTAGGCGTCGCACGAACTGCCGTGCATGAAGAAGAGCGGGAAGGAACCGAAGCCCACGTTTTCGAAACCGGTTTGTTCGCGTGAGCTTTGTCTACTTACTTACTTGCTTGCTTGCTATTACCTACTATGATAGATAGCTATAGCAGCAGCTAACTAAGCTCCATGTATTGTACCTATCTTACCTCCATAAGCAAGCTACGTAAACAAGAAGGGTCGCACAGAGAAGTAAGCGGCTACTCACACACTTACATACATATGTACTACCCCCCGACCGAGCTCGTCTACGTAGGTCTAGGCTCGCTCGGTCTTCCTGCAATCAATATCATCTAGCATACCTACTAAAGCACCTACCTACCTACCTAACGCCTTCCTCTACGTATGTACCTACGTAGGCGGGCGTATGCAACTCGCGTATATATCTACAAGTATTGGACCGTCAGCAAGCAAAGCAAGCAAGCAAGCCACCCAAACACCCAAGTAAGCGAGACCAACCAACCCGTCTTAATCATTAGCCCGCGCCCACGCGGCAGGCAATAAATACTAGGTATGGCATGTATATATGTACCTACCTAACCTACCTACGTTCGGACAAAATAGAAAAAAAAAAAAAAACAAGCAACAAGCAACGAGCAACGAGCGGCTTGCGACCCGAATATGGATATAAGCCGCGAGCCGAACCTGAGCAAATAATGGTCGAGCGGGGGAAAAGAGGAAAAGGGACCCCTTGCTGAGAATAACACACACATCTGACCCAACCAAGAGAGAAAAAAAAAAAAAGAGCCCCGGCCACGTGCGGACGGCCAGTGGCCACTCACCGTCGAGGAATGACATACGTATTAAGGTAGGGATGAATACAACTATTGTATTCCAACTATTGTGCGGAATATTTCCTTCCACGCTTTACCGCACGCGGCCCGATATGTAGGTAGGTAGAGATCTCGAAAAGGCACCGAGGTAGGTAATTTTCTCGATTCTAGGGCCTAGGTATCTAAAGAAATCCCTTTTCTTTTCTCCTTACCGGACAGACACGCGAAGTACTTTATTCTCCTCTACATAGAAAATGTCTCGTACGTAAGACGCGGCGCAACCACTTCTGTCATACAGTCGTATTGCCCCGCGAAAAGAGGCGCACTGTCTACTTCTACCTACCTACCCAGTTACCTACCTACCTAGCTGCCTAGCTACTTCTCGTAAGGCGGCCGGCCGGCACAGTAGCCTGCGCACATGCCCCCCCTATCGTGATTCGCGCAGGTATCCTGCTCCTACCGAGATAAGCTCGTGGAGTCCCATGTGTGCTAGGTAGGTACCTAGCTATGTACATACATAGATACCCCTGTCTGTCTGCTCTCCCTGCTCGCTACTCGACGACCAGTTAGTTGTCGTCGTTGTTCGACTCATATGACCGCCGCTCACCGGCATCGAATGTCGTTTCTTATTTACCTTTTCGGCCAGTATTCCGTGCCCTATCCACGCACGCATCTCGCAACTACGCTTCCTCGGTCTCGCCAAGGTAGGCAGGTACCTGATCTAGATACATCGTTGAGATACGTACATTGCTGAGCACACTAGCCGAGCTGACGGGCGACGCGGGTAACGGGATGGCGTCAATATTTATTCGAGGCACGCCCCATCCGATCGTCCATCTGGTGCCCCATGACAGATTGCACTGTAGCAAGGCGAAGTAGACAATGTACTAACTAATCGCCCTTGCAATTGAAATCGCGAAGATCGCCGCTAACGGATGTTTCAAAATACGCTGACGCCAGCGAGCCGTCCAAACTAAACCTATGGCTGAGATTTGGCATACAGCGGAAAGCCACCGGGCTATTTGAAGCAAAAGCCACGGCTGATATAACGGGGATCGCGATATCATTTTTTGATGAGCTTATATTTACCCCCCACAATTTCGAGCTCGCCCTCTGCTATTTTCTCCCCGAGGAATTCTTGCAGCTCCTCGTTACTCCACGGAAAGCCATCCGCGATCATCATCTTCATCATCATGGAAATCTGTCCGAGAGGCATGGCAGGGCTGGAGTTCGTCAGCATGCCTGTGATGAACTGCCAGTAGACTTGCCGCTTTTCCTTCTCCTTCTCGCTCATCCCGGTCTTGGCCTTACGGGGCGTCGCTGGTCCTACATCAACAGCACCAGGGTTTGACACGTGTGCCGCCTGGAGTGATGAAGGCTGCTCAGCATCCGAAAGACGTTCGATGACAACGTATGTATTATCTGGCAGCCTACGAAGCACTTGCTTCTTTTCCCAGAAGTTAAGTGCTGCCGTGAGAAGGTCTTCGTCCATCTCAAGCTTCATCCATAGATCGTCAAAAGTCCAGCTAGAAGAATTCTCCTCGCTGAAGGCGTTGATGACGGCTGCTTCGTACGTATGAACTTTTTCCAAAATTGACCGGTCTTCGAGCTCCAGTTCCACTGTCGCTTGACCGATATGATTAAGCCACTTAATCTTACGCGATGGCTTTACGTGTTCGAAAATAGTTTCGTACATTTTCTGCATTTCCGTGACGCTAGAAGGTAACACGAAGCGCTCTTCGCCGACCTCAGGCCAGTAAAGCCGCGATAAGATCCGTGCATGGATCGTCCAATCTCGACTCATATTTTTTGGGTGGTTGACCGCTTCGCGGTGGATGACACCATCAAGTCGTGCTGAGTCTTGAATATCCTTGATCATCACATCGCAGGCTTGTAACGAGGACTCTCCGAAGCGCTTTTTGAGTAAGTCAAGCACGCCTACCTCTTGCTTGAACCCTGTCTGCTCAGATAGCAGCCGCTCGCCTATTATGCTTTGGAATTCTTTGATAAACACTTCCGGTGAGCCAAGAGCGCCAATAAGCGTGCCGATTACATCCTCGGATTTCTGTCTCCTGTAATTGGAGCCCGCATCTACCGGAGCAGGGGCCCAGTCCAAGTCATCCCATTCTTCGGTTTGGCGTTCAGTGCGATATCGGTCAGAATCTTGTAGTAGTAGCTCTACTAGTTCGACAAGTTTCGTATTGCGAGCCTCAGAGTTGACTTCTTCTTTATTAGCCAGCAGACCCGTAACGATGATGCGGACCGCATCTTCCCGAGTACATAGATATAGCTGCAGAGAGTAAGCTACTCGGTCCAAAAGTACTCTCGAATGGTCTAGTTTGTGAAATGTCCGGATCATGGCAATATACGTTCGGAGTATATCTAATGTTGAGCGTCCGGCGTGTAGTAAGCGTCTCTGTAGGGTAGATGAGAATGCGTCTGTGAGCTGCAATCGTCGTTGGGGTGTTGTAATTGCGTAGCGAAGATCATCGATCCCGCCTTCGCTATCTGGCCAGCTAATAACAATATCGAAGAGCTCATCGATGCGAAGCGCAGCAAGCCGCCCGACAGCAATCTCTTTCCATTTCTCTACATCCGACCAGTTGATTTGTATGCCGCTACCGAGTCGGCTGGTGACTTCCACGGCCAATCTCGCATATTGATTCTCAACCCAGTCCAGAAGCTCCTTAATACACTGTGGCTGCATTCTAATACGGGCTGGAAGACGTCCTCCCGTCTTCAAACCGTCATTGGGACCCCATACGCCCGCAAAGGTCTCTCGAATATAGGCGATCATCGTCCCGTCAAGGATTTCAGCAAAGAGGATCTGAAACTTTTCGCCGGCAAAGCCGACGTTGCATAGCGATTCTACTAACTGGTGCAACTCCTTTCTTGCCTTATCTACCTTGTCGGGGTCTATAGTCACCTGCCTGCCCCGACCCGGAGCACGAGATACCGCTCCTACACCAAGTAGCGTCTTCATTAGTTGGCCAAGGGTTGATCTTAGAGCATTTATCATGGCATTGGACATTGAGTTTCCAACTATCGCATGTAGATCACGTTGGAATTTCATGAGAGCAAGGTCTGCAGGCTCTTCTTCCATAGCCCGAAGAATTAGTGACAACCCGAATAGATACTGCCTGTTCGCAGCTTCTAAAGTTCGTATACTACCTAGCAGGACCTGTGTCTGGTCCGGGTAGCCATCGCAGACAGACAACAACGGCAGGACATGGCTTACAAAATGGTGTCGAACCTGCTGCGTGTGCCAAGCGAGAATATCCTCGGTACGATTGGCAAGTGGGAGACGCACAGTCGGATTTAAGATATCACGGAGTGCGTCCCGGAACGCGCCGTCGTCGGCATCCTGCGAGTTCGGCAGGGCCCCGAATGAGTCCTCGGCGGTAACGGAGGGTGGGAGCGCAATGCGGGACGTAACCACGTGCCAGGACCGGTCAAAGCGGGTCTGCTGCTGGGCGTGAGATTTCTCCTCGGGCGAAGTCAGCAGGAACTGGGAATCGGTGGCTTTCTGGGGCGTCTGGGTCAAAGGGCCCCCAAAAGTCTGACTCCGACTCCGACTCTGGCTCTGGCCAGGGAACCGTAGCGACGAAGTAGAATACGGTGTAGGCTGAGACACATCGGTCTGGAAAACAGATTGGATGGCGTGTCTTCTTCGCGCGTTCCACTTAGTATCAATATCCGCAGTCATCTCGTCTTGTTGCTATTGTCGTCAGTGGACAACTGTAGATGAGAATTTAGCTGATACATCGATGTACGATGAATGTACCATAACCCCCCCTTGACGGATATAAAAACATACGCGACAAGACGGAAAAAACACTTGGTATGGAGCTTGTAAGAATTATTTTTAGCGGTTGAGAGAGCGTTATCTCCTAGTCGTCGCGTCGTTTAGGCAGCTAGTCTCGTATGTAGCAGGTGATTTCGAGTTAAGGGCTGACAAGGTTCAATTAGCTTAGGCAAAATCAATTGTTATGGAGTCTTTGGGGCGGTTTAGGTAGGCGGTGAAAGGGCATTGCTGTTGCTCGCGGCTATTGCTATTTCATCATTAGGTGCCATCATTTTAATGGTCTGTGCGTTATTATAGCGTAGTATTGTACATAGGTACTTAGATAGGTACGTCATGTACGGAATACATTACAATACATAGGTACAAGTGCCTTACCTGTTATCAGCTTGTATTACAGGGTGCCTCGCGCGGCTGAAGCGTTTATCGCAACATCCTTTCGCATTACCCATATGCACCCCCAGCCGTGTACCTATAATCACCTCTTCCCTGGATAGTCTTAGCGTACTGTAATTTCTTTCGCCGATACGGATGTCGTATTGGTATATGCCAGGTATATAGGTAGGTATATATGCAGGACATTGGCGAGGGCATTTAACGTGCGTAATACTACTAGTACGTTAGGTATGTATATCAAGCTCGTCTAACAAGGATGTAAATAACATAGATGCAGTAGCGATAAGGCCCTGTGATCGACATTCTACTTTTACTCGTTAATCTTAATCTGAGAAGCTTAAAAATACCTGACGAAATTAGAATGCCTGCTTTAATGGTCTCTCTCCCCTTGAGCTTCCGACACCATCTTTTAATAACCACCACTCTTACAACCAGCAGGTATTATAGGTATTTGATGCATATCGGGACTAAGGAGAATTCTGGGTGTAATTAAACTCGTCCAGAGTTTACACACACACACACACACATACACGGGGTTTGAAGAGGGGAAACCATACACCTGCCCCCCGGTCCTCCCCTCTTCTCCAACTATGGTGTTATGAGGGCCATTCTGGTTGACTGCGGCGTTGACGAATAGCGAGTCCGTCCTCCGCTGCATGCAAGTCGCATTGTGGGCAAGAAACGTGCTGCGGGGGCACACGAATAGAAACCACGCATTGAGTCGGCCGGTCAGCGTGGCCACGCACCGCTCTAGCGTTACTACTCTACCTACAGCGCGACGGCGCCTCAAAGGTACTCACAAGTATTTCCTAGCTACTACATATGATGTTATTATGTACGTCGACTCCCCCCCTCCCCCACTCGCAACATGAAACGAGGTACGACCGGCGCAGATCTGTCAGACGCAAGCCGTACGGCCTTACTGCGTAAAAAGTTAGGCGTAAGGACGGCTGAGTGAGTAAGATGATTTAGGGCTGACATAACTAGGCCGTTGCGCAAAAGCTAATCTGTCCCGCCTTTGTGAATAGGTACATGATAATAAGTTGGATATTGTTTAGTGATATGGCCAATTTTTGGTATACAAAACGATTGGTTGTCGTCTGGATGTACTACATAGTGTCTCGCCATACGACGCCTCTCTATATTTGTCGCCGCGTATATGCGTGTGCATCAATCATCCTTATCCCGTTTGGGAATCGTTTGATATATCGTACCAAGTTTACACCAAGTGTAAATCATGGAATTCATGACAGCTGCCCGAGGTCTAGGCCGGCTTCTCAGTACACTTGATCAGCAGCTGCTCGACTCCTTTAAGGGTATAGTAACTCCTTTAAGGTACGGAATATGTATAGTAAGCGCAGAAGACGCAGGAGAATGTTCTTTTGGTTACATTCGAAGTCAAGCTAGCACTCGCCTCCCACGTTCAGCCTGCAGCTTTCACACGTGTAGGTCAGATGGTTTGGGGCACGTTGGACCGGGGCTGTCTGCGAGCTTTAAAACTTGACAAGGCCTTGCAGTGTAGTAATCACCACCCATCTAGAACTTGTTTCAAGAGCTGCACTGCAACCAAAGCAGCTCTTGGTGGTGTAGTTCGCAAGACCGCATGGTTAGTCGCCAACGGCCACTCCGAAAATCCGGTACTATGTATTGTACTTTTTTAGTTAGTACGTGTCGGCTACGTCTTCCGTCGTACGTCCCGAAGAACCCGATCGTACCTAGCTCTCCATCAAGGGGTGCGGCGCGGGAGCATGTTAGTACGCAATTAGCGTACGGGTGAGTCGTATGGTAAGATCCATTAATCGAACAATAATTCCAAAAATGGGGTTGAAATTAGCTCGCAAAATGTACCTTTCCTTCATCCTAATCCGAATCGGCGATACATTACGTGCTGTAAGTGTACGGCACAGCAGAGATGTTATGGTTTACAGCTCACGACATAACGGGCGAGATCGACGCTGGCTTAAGATTGCTCGATGTGTCGGTAGCATCGTCTTCCCGGCCATTGCAGCACTTGCAGGCGTTTATTAAGTTCCTATCCTTGGCACATATAGTAGTAGTGACTTCGGGACCGACCGAAACATTATATCTATAGCTTTGCAAATGTTCCTTGCGACCGAAAAGCTGTATCGAAACTCTCTAAAGGTCCATGTAGTATTGCATGTAGTATTGCAGAGTTGCAAAATAAGAATATACTCTAATGTCTGCGTGTTTTGGCCTGTGAGGGATTTCTGCGTGGGGGGTGGTAGGAGATGGGGGATACCGGTTAATAGCCGTTGACGCCATTGTACTATGGTATCTACATAGTATCCATCGTCTTGAGATAAGCATACTATCCCGGCCATCGATGGGGGTACGTATGGGCGACATCCGTTGAGGCTCGTAAGTCCATTATACGGAGATAAGATAATCGCGTACCCCACGGTCCCCAATGCTTCGTGAAACCGTCCGCGGCCTGTGGTGTTGCGGAGTGTCCGACGCTGTGAGATGGTGACACTGCTTGTTAAACCGGTCGCTTGGTAATGACCTACCTTTTAACTCTTAGATCGATATACTGCTTCTGGTGTCCGCTTTCTATACGCGCATGGCTGTACCTAGTATGCTTTCTACTGTAGTCCAGGACAGCTGGGGATGCTTGCCTTTTAGATAGATTAGCTCTGCAAACTCGCAAAGGAGATGAGACGGGTAGCTATAGCGAGCCTCGGCTCGCCCCCAATACGGTTGACCAGACTAACAACTGTGCCAAAATGAAAAAAAGTCTATGTGCTTAGCTCAAAAGGGTAGTCAGCCACAGGTTAGCGCAATTAGCTCGATTTATTACGGTACTTTGCACTTTTATATAGGAAAAATGAATTATTTCTTATAGATATATACGTTATAGCGTTATATATGATATGTTTTAAGAGGGTATGTTTACTTTTAACCTTTTAAGGCCTTAACGGGCTACCTTTATCGCTAAATTTAAAATTAACCAATTAACTTAAAAGATTCAATTGCCAATTCAATTTAATTCAATTCCAACTATTACATCTACACATTCAAATAACTTTACAATTTTAACAGCTATAACGTTATGGTTAATATCATTATATAGCCTCAATTGATGCGAAAATAATGATATAGGTTGCATCCGAATCAGCCTTTTTGTTGTTGTTGTGTTATAGTAGAGTCAAATAGCGCTTGTCTTGTCTTGAGAGGGTCTTGTCTAGAGGGAAGCACGTGATACCCTTTACAAGCACCTCCATGAAGTATTTTCAATTAAGCTCCGAATACATTAAGGGCAATATAATACTCAATATACATCGCATAAGCATGAAAGTTGAACCATTAGTTTCGCATCAATTAGGGCTATCGAATGATATTAGTTTTAACGTCATAGATGTTAAAATTGTAAAGTTATTTGAATGTGTAAATGTGGTAATTGACAATTGAATCGAGTTGACATTGAATTTTGGTTAATTCTTTAGATTATACTGTTTAAATCAATATCTTTATCATAATAAACCGTAATGAGGCTTGAAAGTACACATTTAATATTTTCCAAATTGTGGCAAGTAACCTCCTGCCAACTTTAGTTTAGTTTGCAATTATTTTTTTCATTTTGGCACAGTTGTTAGTCTGGTCAACCGTACCCAACTTCGTTGTTATTACGGTTGTACAGACCTGAGACCTTTACACCGAGCGAGAGCGTTACCTATGGATGCGGACAATTTGGATTGGGCGGTGGTCATCGGAATTTAGGAGAATACCAATCCCCATTCGCGGAAATTCGTACTCGGTTAGGCCCTGACATCATATTTTGCAATTAAGAGCGTTCTCGCTCAGCCAAGGGTAGAAATTGTTGACAATTGACAATTGTACCATGACCCTGCGAGACCGCCTCGCACACCTTTTACCGAATTAGGTGTTTAAACAGCCGATTCATACCCACTTCTTACCTATGATCCAATAAAATTAAGCTCATCGCACAGACATAGTCGCTATGCTATTCACGTGCTCATAATAACTGGAAGTCCGTCCAGGGTTCGGGCGCGGAGTCCCGATGACCGTGCTCGGTATTAAGTCAAGGGTCAGTATGCATACAAAGAGAGATAGGTATTCGACGGCGCAGTACGGATCCGTACTAGGCGGAGATAAATAAGACCGGATCGTCAGCCAGAATCAAACTTTTGCAATGTTTGGATTGAAGTTTGAACCTCGGGATTTGATTGTGGATAACGGCTTAACATTGTGATTGTTGTTCATGGTAAAAAAGAACGAGTACCTACCGTCTGACCAAGTGGACCCATAATTGCGTGTACTACCAGTGCCTGTCTCTTATCAACTACCCAAGGTAACCCAACGGATTCCTCGGGGTATCTTTAATTTCTGGTAGGACAACGCTTAGAGATCATTTGGTTAGTTTTTACAGACCATGCCATTTGTTTGGTTTTCTCTTGTCCTTAATTGTTAAACTATTTTCGGATATGGATACCGAGCAAGTAAGTTGTTAGACCTCGTGACGCTGATAATGCAAACACCCGCCCGACTTTCCAGTCTTCTAAACAAATATCTGCCGATGTATAATCTCGAAGTAGGCTATAAGTTTGGGTTGGGGTTTCATGGCGCGGGGAGATAAACTATATCGAGTTCGATATTATTATTTCTCTTTCGTTATGTAAGGTACGTACGCGATACGCATCCTTGGGCCTTTTTGGAAACGTAAAATTTAGGTACTAAACCTAACCGGTATACCCCGTCTTAGTGGATAGTGGAGGCAGGGACTTATTTATTTATACATACACGTTACCCACGATGGATTCAAGCTTGAATTTAAACCAGGGCGATCCACATGGCATTTCATTCACGGAAGGAGCCTTTAAGTTAAGCACTAAGCCCTGTATGTCGACGTTGTGGATTATGTAAGGGTTAGAGCTACTAGCTCCGTACCGAGGTACCCGATGATGCAAGACTCCACTTTATTAAATGGTCGCCCTGTCGTCGTGCTCCAAAACTCCCGTCGCGATAAAATAATTGTTAATGTACATACACTTTACAAGTTCATCGCAATACATTAGGTAGGAAAAGAAGTCCACCGGGATCTACATAACGAGGACGAGAAAAGACAGCTTCCATGATCTGCTAAACCAAGGAACCATCCATACAATCGGTGCACATGCTCTCTTGAAAAATGTAGCAACGATCGTCCTATCAATCAATTTGAAGACCAATGCCATAGCAGCATAGCTCGCAGCCTGATTCTATTTCTGGCAGCATTGCACACAGACATTCATGGCACATGGCTTTCTCCCCTGCACCGCACCCCTGGTTCCCCGGTCAAGGCTGTGCTCGCATCGCTTCTCCATTCTCCAACACAAAGTCCACAGTCTCTCCAGGTTCCAACAGACGGTCGGGTAGCACTGTATCCGAGCGTTTTCGAAGGGCATCATTGGCTGATTGGTTCCCGCGACCCTTTTGTTTTATCGAATGGTACTTTACGTAGGTACTTTACGTAGCGTAAGCACTCTGCCCGCTGGCTGCTTACTTGACGATGCATCTACGTAGTCTATCAGTCTATCTACATCAATCTACGTAAGATATCTACCTAAGCATCTACTTTACTTATGTAATTTCGTATAGAACACGGCATTGAGATTCGGCCGATCCCACCGCCCGTCAGAAAGCCATGCGTCAAGATCTGGGGCCCCTGTTTGGTGTATCTGACGCTGCAGAACAAAAAGCTCCATTGTTTGTATCACGCCTTTACGTTTACGTACCTGGGTATAGGCAGTTGAACAAACCAACCTCGTCGCCATATCGCGCTACACAAGAAAGCTCGGCTCGCCATTTCTGACTGCCCGTCCATTAACCACTCGCTAACTATACGAAGCGGCGAAGCCGCGTACGTACCTAACCTAAGGTACGATGGCATCAGTTAATTGGCGGGGGAGCCACCGAGGAACAAGCTTGAATGAATGAGCTTTTGCTCTATTAAAACGGGCGCGCGATAAGAGCGATACGAATGCCCAGAGGGGAGGCACGCACAAATTGGACCTTGAGGACCAGCTGAACCCCTCACCCTCACGTGGGAAATCCTTGTTTCGGCCGAATGCTAGTTCTTAGAAACAAGAAGGGGATTTCGAAAAATAAGAAGGGCGGAATGTTGCATCGTTCCATTGCGGTCTTGGCTTGGTAACGGTCGTTCTTCGTTACGACATGACGACTTTCTAGATGAATGCAACGAATAATGTACAATACTATATAAACTGGACCTAACAGCACGCAGGGTATAGTGGGTATTGGTGCGATGAGACCTATCTACTACAGTACTACTATAAGCAGGCACTCCCGTACGGAATAGGTTATCAATCGATATAAAGTATCTCCTAATCTGGAAGCTGACTACGGCTGCAATATGTATTGTACCTAGTTCTAATGTAGTTCTCATGTACTGTAACGCCATCCCCTGCCCGCCACCTGGCCTACGGCCTGCATCTTTGCTATACCTGATCTATACTGGCTATGGTAGGTCTGTAGGTCTGTAAGTCTGTAAGTCTCCTGCAGCTGTAATCCTCCCTGATAGGGAGCTTATCCATGTCTCCCCAGCAACTGTTGTCTTCGAGAATGTTGCAACGAACAGACATGACTGCTCCTGAACTTAACCCGATCAGTCATGATAGACGTCTGGTCATAGGCAATGCTACATAGCCAACCAAAACTAACCCCGCGTCATCTGTATGGTACAATACCTACTTACACACCTAGTATGCGCACACACGCAAGTAATATTGATTGTATGTTTTGTTAGCGGGGACCACCCATGTGCGACATGTTTTACCAACTATAGTGACGATAACCTCTCGGTCCCGATCACGTTTGCCTGCTAGTCTCCGTCTAGCAGGTACTACTAAAGACAGTATCCATCAAGGATTTATTGCTAGGTCCATCATAAGTCACCAAAGGCGTAAATAGTGTTTAAAGCAAAAAAAAAAAAGATATATTCCAATTCCGTTGATGTCAAAAAATGTACAGGGTGAAGTGATCAGAGATCGAAAGTCGAACTAAGTAAGACACGATATCGAAAAAAGGGGGTATATGCTTAATCTTCCGCGCCATATCCAGAGCTCGTGAATCCCCGAAAATCATAATCCCATATAGACTCCATGTAAAGATATGTCCGATTGTTTTGCATGCCAGTCGAGCCGTCGTCTAAACCCTGTCCCGCTCCAGATAATTCTCGTAGCATCCGTATTTTCAGCCTCGGGAATCTTTAACAATCGTCCATCCATCGTTTAAATCGTACAAAGTGCAGTCTGAATTTTTATTTCATTTTATTTTATTTTTCACTTCTTAACTGTTTCGCCTTTGCTTGCACTTGTCGTGAAGCAGATGTCCATTGCGAGCCTTCGATATTAATTAGTTAACATATCAATAAATAGGATTTGGTGCAAAACTTACAGTAGTCCTTGTGAACTCAGCACCGCAGTTGGGGCATGTCGCCTTAGCAGCTTGTCCCGACTTCTCACGTTGATGTCTTAAAAGGTTGCTGAAGGTTGAGAATTGTCGTCCGTTGCAGCCGTGTTCCCAGCACTGTGGTTTGGGTCGGCTTTGGACGACACGAACGTGACCAGCCTCCTGCGTGGCACCGTTGCCCGAAGAGAGAACTTGAGGGGCTTGAACGGGATACATCATTCCAGATTCGTGCATCGGGGGTGACGGGCGACTGTTACGGTTATTAGAAAGGATATTTATATATATGCTCATTGTACGAACCTGTATTGAGAAGATAGACTGTGGGCGGAAGGAGGTGGTGGAGGGTAGCCCGGAGAGTAATTCAAACCCAAGTAATCGGCAGGTGGCCTATCGAACCAATTATTAGCCTGGTGAAAATCGGATCGTTTCGCTAAGTAACTTACAATGAAGAAAAGTGAGATGTGAACATTGGCGAGCCGTGGTCAGGAAGAGGCGATGTTGAGTAAGATGACATATATGACCCCGCCATAGTTGTTGCCGGTTCCGCAAGAAGAGATATTTGCGAGGGCGCTGTCGAGTACACTGGCACAGGCGACGCAGAAGAAAACTCGTGCATTGAAAGCGTAGGAGATTGAGAAGCGGAGGAGTAAGTGCTCATAGCACGGCGCACTCGAGCTGATGACTTTGAATCCCGTCGAGCTTGATCTCGCTGCCTCTTAAGTTCGCGCTGCTCTGGTGTCAGGGTGAACCTCGGCGGGCTGGAGGTTAAAGATCGAGAGCCGCTCGGAGGAGTCATGCTGGCATCGGAACCGTGGCCAACGGAACTTAGATCGTGCCCTAATAGATCAGGACCCGACTCGAGAACGGGCCATGTGTAAGAGGAGCGGGGAATCCCCATCTCCAGTCTAGGATCGAAAGCTACTGCTACGGTACTGTTCATCGTGAGCTCCAGTCCTGTAATCATCTCACAAGGGAAACTCACCTCATTGTGGATGTTGTTGGTGGAGGTAAAGAAGATGTAGAAGGGGAAGAATCCCGGACTGGATCGACCCTTAATAAAGGTGTGTCTTGAGATTGAGTTTGCCTCTCGTTCCACTCGGCATCCAAAGTACCCTGAGAGGGTAGAGCTGGATAAGATGTGTGGTCTGATATAAATGGCGCAGAGCGATGAGGGGTATTGGTATAAGGCGGTTGTGGCCCTCGTGAAGATGCTGGTTGACTATGATACGAATCGACGAGACCTAAGTTGCGAAACCCCGCTGTCGTCGAGACTGTGCTACTAGCTCTTGATCTAGGTAGGTGTGAGTAAGAATCTTCGGAATCCCGTTCTGATCGAGAGTAATGATCCATTATAGCAAAGGAATGATGTCTTGTCGAGCACCGAAGATAGTAAAAAGCACACGTACAGTATCACTACTTCTGTAGTCGGGATGAGTTGGTGTATAAGTTATCGTCGACTGGAATCGAGATGGGAAGGCGATCCTTATGACTTATAAGAACGATAGAGGCCAAGCTGTTTCGTAAAGATGAATATGAGAATAGCTCGTGTAGGAAGACTTTAAACGGCTAGGTTTGGGTAAGCGTTTTGTATCTGAGAATCTCAGCCTCAGTAGTCGCGATGGCAGGACAGCAGGAACATCGAGTGCTTATAAATTTATCGAAGGCAGTACCTTGGTGGAGCACCTCTGGCTTCGACCTTACGTATTGTATGGTGCTGCGTGGGAGAAGATGGGAACCCTTGTCAACAACGATGTGTACAGAAGAGTACATCTCGCAGTCGACGCCGTAGAGCTAGGTAGTACCTAGCACCTAGCACCTAGTGTAGCTACATGGGTGGTCTAGTCAAAAAGGCGGGTACGACGTAAATACTAGTATGTAGGGCAGGGTGAAGAAGTGGGTGTGGGGTGCAACGAGGAAGACCCTGCTGCATATACATGGCAGAAGTACCTCGCCTGTCCTGTGGATCATTTCTTCACCACCACCTGGTCTGTCCTGGATCGACCGGGGCTGATACGTACATATGTAGGCACACACATACATAGTACATAAACGGGAGACGGGGAGAGGACCAGGGTGGTGAGAGAAGAGCGGGGGTCAGAAGAGAGAAGATAGAATCGAAGAGACAGATGATAGCAAGCTAACAGGCTGGGCGGACTATGTTAATTCATGTAGGGGTATGGCACTAACATACCCCAGTGATCTGCTGCTTGATCAATGTTCGGTTCGACGAAACACCTACATAGCAATTGATCCCAGACACACACATATTGTCACCTCGTCTGGGCCGTGACGGCTGCTCTGATGATGACAGGGGAGACTTCTGATCGCTTGGTTCCTGACATCGATAACGTAAGTAGCATAGCATAGGTAGCATAGAGGGGGTTAGGGTCAGCGATAAGGCGGCGTGCGCGCGTTGCGAGAGTTGCGTCAAAGGCATAGCTAGGTAGGTATACCTAGGTATACCATATTACATGGAGTTATTAGGTAGTACTTACAAGAGTCTGAGATGGGGATAGATCCACGACCAGAGGGGTGTAGGTAAGCCTTAGCCAAGCGCGGCAAGGCCTAGCACGGGGTAGGGTGGCTTTGGCGTTTCTTCGCGGAGAACGTAAGCAGGCAGTGCCAACTCTGTGACTTGTTCTTTTGGTTGACCTGCCTCATCCATACCCATCAAACCCCGTCTAACCCATCTCGCTCGGGGTACCGTGTGGTCCGTACATACTGTATCGCGCGTGTTTCTACGGCACGGCAAGCCCTGCAAGCGTACGACTGCAAGGGTCTTCTTGCGCAAGAAACGATGTGATTACCTACCTAAGGAAAGCTACGAACGTGTTATGAACGATTGATCAGTCGGCAATTAGGAAATTGCCATTGTCCGACCGTCAAGGGTCCAAAGTGTGATCGTAGAAATAATATAACAAAAAAAGACCATGCTTAGACCAGGTAGCAAGGTAAACTAGGCACATGACGTCTAAACCGTGGTACGCGAGAACTCTCGACTCCAGTTCCGCCGTTTAGCACCGCACGGCTCCGGGACCGAGTCTATGGAGCTCTCTGTTTTATTCATAGCGGAGAAGGATGTTCATCTCACAATTTGCTCAACCTCGGCCGTGAGATGCGGCCGAAGCGCATGGCAGGCAAGGGCCTAAGACATGGGCAGAGCATGGCGATGGACTCTTAAGCTGCCAGGGCACGAATCTCAGTGAATCATACTATGTAGATCCGCAGCACGTCAACTGTTTAGTGTATTAGTCGTCGTATTATAGTATGTAATGTATACCTAACATGTTATAATATGTAGGAATCGCGAATGAAACAAGATGCATGGGAAGCCTGACTGTGTTGCAGATTTGGAAACGAAAGAAGGGCAGAAGAAATGTTCGATAGAGGTAGGTGAGAGAGGAAGATGTTAGGTTAGTCGCTTAATTTTTAGTTGCGAAGAACCAATTTCCTTCTTTAATCGCACGAGGTGTACTTAGGATTCTAATCCCTACAAGCGTAGGTTAGTCTTAAGTATTTGTGTACATTAGGTATGTAATTCGGTATCGACCTTTCCTTATTAGTGGAGTGACGCAGCGACAAATGCACACGAACCCTCCTTAGGCAATTTAGTACTTCTGAACCCCCGCCATATTGCTATCAAAATAGCTGTACTTCTTAGCTCGTGCGTTAAGTAAGCAGGGGTAAAGAACAAGCGCTCGCGTCTAATTAGTCGCTTGCCTTAGCTGTTATTAAACACACACCAAAGACCTCACGGTGTGATTATAAAGTCCCCAACCCCATGTACCCATGTAAAGTTGACCTATTACACTGCAGGGGACCTTTTAACCATATTTTATGTACATACCTAAGGTACCAGTAGCAGCAATGATTAGCATGTGGCGCACCGAGTACTTCGCGTATTTAAACAATGTCTATTATTATTCTGCGTTAGACCCAAGGCCTAATAACAGACCCATATTCACATTTTCGTAAATACCAAATCCGGGTAGCGTCGAAAAAAAGAAATGGATCAGGTCTTTGAGTTATACTATGTAGACTATGAGGTCAATAATTTTACATGTAACGGGGATTTACATCGGATGATTTGTAGTCGTTGTTGCGGTCCCGACGATGGGTAGATTACCTAGGTCCGTAGATGGTTTCTATTGTGATACAGTAACATCTCGTCATTTGCGACTAGCGTCCAGTAAGAAGTTTACCTAAGAAGAGGTAGTTATCAAATATCAAATCATGTCGACATATTTTTACCCTTTTTAGATTGCTTGAACCAATATCTATCCATCTAAGGATCTAATCATGTACCCCGAACAACATACATGCGTATACCTAGCTTACAGCGTGCTCTTGAGAATTATCTAACTACCGTATTAGGCCCTAAAGCCACGGCGAGGAGGTACCGGGTTAAAACAACATGCCCCGTATATTTGGATTTGGTGCGAGACTATCGTCCGTGCCTCTCAGTCTACTATGAGAACTTATAAAAAAAGAAATCAATTAAATAAAATTAATCACGCTAACAAGGTATTCTTGGTAGGGTTAATAGAGTTAAAACAGCTGACAGTCTAAAAGTATGCCTCGTTCAATGTTCAATGTTACCTTAAGCCTCCTGCATCTGTCTACCCTCCAACGAGCTCATCAAATTCGCCCGCCCCGTCCCATTCGAAACACGCTTCTTCAAACCTAGCCGTGGCTAATGCCTTATCCGAAGCCCACTTTGAACGACCCAGGGCTGGTTGCTAGGCCCGCTGTCGAAAATCAAAGATTCGTCTTCTATTTTCGGATTCAAATGTGGGTAACCTACGACCCTCGTCGCTCAACATAGCAACGCCACCTTCCAGGGAATTTACTCGGCCGGTGAACGGACATTGAATAGTCCAAGAACCCATTTCGCTTCCGGGGATAATTTGATTTGCCGTCTCAGAAGATCGCCGTCTGAACCCGTTCCAGGCTACTATATATATACAAACCTGGGTTATCTAGATTGTGAGTATGGTTGAATGTGGGTGTTATTAGTCATCTACAGAACAATACATACCAAGCAGATAAGGAGGCTACCATGCATAGTCGTTGTAATCACAGCGCCCATGAGCATAAATTCAATTGCCGCCACTGGGCTATCATTAGATATCGGCGCCCCGTACGCCTCCGATTTTGTGAATCCTTTCACGGCAGCCGGCTTAGAGCGATAGTATTGCAACTACCTACCTACATGTAGGAGAGGCCTATAGGGCCAACTACTGCCTCCCCCCACCACCCTAGCGATCACCGCCGGAGCGCTAATGCTTGTGTCGCAGAAAACAAGGAATAGTGACAACTTTGAGATTATGCCACTAGAGTTAGATCCCTAAAGGACTGCCATATTTAGTATTCAAACAAGCGCTTCTGATGACTTTTGTCCCCAAGGATCAGTTAAGGCTAAGCCCGTCGTTGTCATGGATGCCTTCTTGGGGGACTTGGAAATGTGGCTGTTCTGATTATGAATAGTTTTGATCTCGCCGTTGATATTATTCGGTGCTACGCCTCTTAAAGATTGACGAACCGGCCTCAGTTACATCAAAAAAACGTCCGGGTGTGTCGCTTTGCCCCAGATGGTAAGACACCAACAACTCGTGCCAGCGCTTCCACCTCGTTCACTGGTTGTTGGTGTTCAGCAAGCATGTAGCTTGCCTTTCAGGTCCCAAACCGGAAACTAGACCGAAAACCAAGATCATCTGAATATACCTTTACCCAGAATTGACAATTGTTGGTCGATGAGGGTAACAAGGACTTTGAATCAATAGGGCGGCGTCTAGTCAGTCCAATCCGGATCGTAGCGTCTGATTAATGGCCAAGCAGGCTATGACACAATGCAAAATTGACCATGAAGCGCGCCTAGAGATGCTCTAAGACTGGTCATAATCTTTTTTTCCCACCTTTCCCTCGTCCTTCTTGGCGGCCCGTCGCCTTTTCAGGATGGATTAGTTCCTACAGAGGTTTTAAGACACGACCGGCCATGCGCTGATGACCGTTATGATGAAGAACCAGATGACGGGAATAATTAGAAGTTAATATCCGAAATATAAATTCGTCGCTAATCATAGGGTTACATGATTTTGCTTATTTTAGTCGCTTTGTTAAAAGATATTTGCGTCAACGCTCAGGAGCGAAGACGTCGGTATCCCGTGGCCGTTGGGGCTAAACATTTCCGAATGGTTGGGAAAGGATGCACTTCTGGTGTTCCAGAAGGGCGGCATGGAAAACTGTAACCAGTACTCCGGTGACATAGTTGATTGGGGGAGAATTACATATAGGGTGTGACCCATGGAGGTATTTTTGTCTCCAAATCCTTCCCGATTGGATTCGGGGAATTTTGGTTCTTATCGGCAGAGCCAATCCGAAGCTCCCAATACCACGAGGTATCCAGGAATATTATGTAAGCGCATTGGCAATTGGAAATGATCTGGAAGAATGCTGTA